GAAGCCTAATGTCTGCGCGTGGTCTGCGCGACGCAGACATAAGAGCTTTGCAGACCTTACACAGTAAAAACAAACACCACCTAAAATTACTTCATACACTTTTTGAAAAAAAAAATTGGTTAAATTTTTTAATTTATCTTTATATTAAGTTATATATAGTGTTAGTAGATTTTACCTATATTTAAGAAAATAAGGTAAAATTTTCAGTGAGCTAAACAAATAACGAGGCGAGCAATGAACATCGAGCTTAATGTGCAACGAGTCAAGCAACAAATTTTCTTAACGAGCACGAGTCGAACAAAATTTTAACGAGCAAAGAGTCGAGTCGAGCAACAAAATTTTTTAACGAGCACTAATCAGGTACTGCCCAACTAACGATCGACTCACTTGATAATCACCCCTAATCTCATATATTATCTCTTGATTCATCGATAATAATAAGAATAATAATAAAAGAATGAAAAGTATGAAAAATATGAGATGAAAATGAAATCATGTCATAAGCATATTTTATGAATGATGAATGTGAGTGAGTATTTTATTCCCAAACTATTCCCTTTCCACACATACACATACAAAGATTGTGTGCAGTCCTAATTTTCTCTTTTTCTTACTCTGATATTTTTTTTTCTTTTACCATTATTGGCTAGCGATGATATCAATTGTAGTGTTGGTTGGTAATCGTTGATATTTTTTATTTTCTTATATCACATCTTTATTTTTCTCTTATTCTTTTAAAGTTTTAATAACTTTTATCTTATGACATGTTTTCTTTGTTTTTATAATACGTTTTTTTGTCTTTTGACATGTTATTGATCTTTTTGGACATTATTTTTGTTTAATTTTTTTAGAGTTGTATTTGACATCGTCTCAACTGATCAATATGTCACTTATTTGTTACATTTTAATATTTCTTGCTTTGGACCTCATATTAGATTTGGATACGCGGTTTGCATTCAGAGATAGTTTTCTCATAACACTCGACTCTGATTTGTGATTGTCGATAATCTCTCAATAGTTTAATTTCATGTTGTAGTTCGTTTATCGAATGGAGTTAAATGTGTTCATATCTATATTTGGTTTAGGTTTTTAATGAATATTTAACAAATTTCATATATGGTTTTTGTATGATCACAAGTTACTAATTACTTGTCTCAATGACTACAGGAAATGTCTTAATTATATATTTAAAATTTTCATATATAATCTTGCAATAATCAAGTGACATTAGTGGTAAAGGAATTGCTATTATTTTTTGATGTCCCGAGTTTGAGCACCAAGAATATCAGGTGTGTAAGCATTTAATGTTAAATGGTTGAGATTTATCTTTTGAACAAATATTATTTTATACGTATCTCAAATTAATAAAAAAAATTATAAATCTCCATTATAAATTTTAGATATATTTTTAATAAAACTGATGACTTATATTTTCATAAAAATAACATAGATAATAGGATTCAAAATAAGTATAAAAAATTATCATAAAAGTTATATTTAAGATTATAAAAAAAATGTTAAAAATCCTAATTTTTTTCTTTCTTTTTAACTCCTTCAGCCGCAAATTTTTTTTTCCCTTTTAACTTTGCTGGCAACGGTATTTAGACTTTGGCTCGGTATTTAATTTTTTAATTAAGAATTAATATTTAGGGTAAAATATGCGTTTAATACTTAAACTTTTAATTTTGAACTATTTTAATACATAAAATTTCAAAATATTTAAAATTATACCTACAATTTAGTTTTTATTTCATTTTAGTACCTCAGTTCAAAATTTATCGTTAAGTTTTGAAAAAAAATTAAAAATTTAGGTACTAAAAAGGGCCAAATCTTATAGTTTAGGTCTAAATGTGTTAAATTTTTAACGGCTAAATAATAAAATGAAAAACTAAACGTTAAATATGATTTTAAAAAATTTAAAAGTTTAAGTATTAAAACAAATTAAAACTGTTAGTTTAAATATTAAATACGTAGTTTAACCTAATATTTATATAGTGAAAAATGTCAATACCTTCGACTTCTAAGGGTAAATATAAAATGGAGAATAGAACACGCTGGAAACATCACTTGCCCAACACACGGCCTCCCTACTCCTCCATGTGATTGCCACGTGATGTTTCTTCCTACTCAATCTTTTTCGAATTATCAAAAATACCCCCAATCGTTTTATTATTTTTTATTGCATGAAAACAATACTTGTTATTCTTAATAATTTATAAAATTTATACTCCATTAATTCATTTCTGAGCCATTACCGATTACTATTTAATAAAAAATATTTAAATTAAATTATAATAATATTAAAATTAAAACTAAAACTAAAAATAAAATTAAATATTTTTTTATAAATGATAATAGATTCTTTTTAAATCATATCTAGGAACGTGCCCATGATTTCAACTTAAGGGAGGCAAAATATAATTTTTTCTAAAGTCAGAGGGTAATTTCATAATTATACTATAAATATTTAAATTTTATATATAAATTAAATGTAAAAAAAAAAAGATTTGCTGGTTTGAGGGGGGCATACAGCCCCTCCCATTACCTTAATAGATTCGTCTCAAATCATATCTAAATTAAAAGTGTTAATGTATTAAGCTAGATATAGATCAGATTTATGTACAATATTATCCCACTTCATATTTATTCAATTTAAATTTATTTTAAATATAGGTTTGTTTTTTCTAAAATTTTTATTTGTAAATATTTAATTCAAGTTTATTTTAGGTCTACCCATATTTTAAAAAAAGTAAAATATAATTTTGTTTAATATTTATTAATTATATATATATATATATATATATATTATGTTATTTTTTAAAGGAGCGTTTCTCTCTTTTAAATACAAACAACATAATATATATTTATTTATAATGCCACGTATTATTATATATTTAATTTTTATATTATATAAAATAGAAATATATAAAAAAGGCTAGGTTCTAATTACACAATGTAAAACTAAAAAATTTTACACATTTTTAACATCGTTGGATATAAGAAATCAAAGGCTGATATTAACATTAAGAAATAATAATATATTCATTAGAGGGAAAAATTAATCTCAACTTTTGATTTCTCCTATCTAACAGTCTTAAAAAAAGTGTAAAACAAGGAATTTTACACTAAGTGAATTTAACCTTATAAAAATTGTATAATATAATATATCACAAACTTAAAAATTGAGTCCAATACAAATCCTAAATGTTAGAATCCTAGATTTCTTTTATATTTTAGATTATATAATATTTGTATCTAAATCTTTTTTTTTCAATTATAATTAGTTCTTATTTTTAAGAAAATACTATCGTCTTTTCTATAAAATAAATAAATAAAAGTTTCTCTTATTGGTGTGACGTTTATCCATTTTTTCGATTTTGTTAATCGACAACGACACCAATTTTAATATTGGTTATTGACCGTCGATATTTTTTATTGTCTTTTTCTTTTCTACATTGTATCTTTATTTTTTTTCAAAAAACATGCATGTGTTGCACGTATTCATTTACCTTTATGACACATTTTCCTATGTTTTTTTGGCATTTTTTTGCTCTTTGATCGTTTTTCGTTTATTTTTTAAGGGTTGATTTGGCATTGCCACAATTGATCAAGATGACACTTATTCTGATATCTTGTTAATCTTTCCTGCTTTGGATCCTCGAATTAGATTTGGATACTTGATTTTCGTTTGCGGATAGCTTTTCACATCGCTCGAGTCGTATTTGCGGTTTGCTGATAGTCTTTCAATAGCCTGATCCCTTTTTGTGGTTCGTTTGTCAATGCGATCAGATCTGTTTGTATCTATCTTTGTTCGAGTTTTTTTGGTTAGATTTAATCTTTCCTTGTATGATCCTTATGTGATTTTAAGTTGCTAGTTTTGTTTCATTGATTATAGGAAAATTTCCTAATTATGTGCTTAATTTATGGTTATAATTGTAAATCTTTATTGTAATTTGAGGTATTTTTTTATTTTGAATAAAATTAGTTTCTTATTTTAAAAAATCTATTTTTTTCTAAATTTTGATCGATACTTCAATTTTACTTAGAGATGTATATTTAGAATTCGATGGATATCGATTTAATTTAATAAGATGGATTTTATTTTACTTTGGAAAGTTTTGATCATATCATATTTTTAAAAGATGAGGTCGGATAAGATTTGAGTTCAGGGGAAATTTAGCATGATTTAATTAGAGATAAGATTATAATTATTTATTAATTTAATAAAGAGATTTATTTAAATACGAAATTGTATATTCAAAATATGTCAACACTTGGTCGTTTTAATACCAAATTAACATGTAAATACAAAGAATCTAAATTTGTTCTCCCATATTTGGCGAAAAAAGATGTTTGGAAAAAGGGAAGTCAACAAGAGAAGAAAGTAGGGCTAGTTTGGTCAATTGATCCGGTGGTGAAAATTCCAAACCTCTTTGTATGAGAAAGAAAAGGGGAAAACAGGGGTCGGTCAAGTTAACAGGCAGTTTTCAAGTCTCAATCTTGGGGGCGCTATTCAACTTGCCTTTGCAATTTGCAAAACACACTGGAAAAAAAACCAATCTTTTCCACTTTTTCTAAATATTTTTTAAAATAAATTATATATTTAATCAATCAATTATTAATTTAGTTCTATTTTAATCATCTTAATATTTTTTAAAACATAATTAATATTATATTATATTTTTATTTTATTCATTATCATTAATAAATAATTGTATATTATCGTAAAATCATATCACATTTTTATTAAAAAATATTACATTCACTAATTTTATTAATTTATTTACTATATGTGATCGAAATAAAACCAAAACATAACATTAATGATACTTTTAAAATATAGTTAATTGATCAAAACTAAATTCAAATGACAATTGAACGACTAAATGGTTAATTTACCCCAATTTTTATTCATATCCAAAACTATAAAATAAAAGATTTCCCAGTTTTTCAGGGCCCCTGGTTTTGCTCCCTCTCCACCTTTATATACCACCTTTGCACCTTTCTTCCCCAACCGATAAACAACCCCTCGCCATTGATATTTTTCCACTTTTCTTCCTTTTTATCTTCTCGATTCAAACGAACCCCCTTTTTATTCCTGCGGGTTTCTTGTTCAACCTTTGTTTTGCACGAAAAATAGTGTTTTCCGATAAGGAAAACAGAGGAGAGGAGGTTTTTGATGATGATGGATGCAGGTGGATGCGTGGAGCAAGGCAAAAACATTATAACGGCAGCGAAGCACGTAAACAACAGGGTCAGATACGCCAACAAGACAATCAAGAAGAACAACAGATCATCGTCGTCGTGTAAGAAGATGAGAAGAGAGGCTGTGTTTCCACGGGTCCCGGAAGTTCTGCAACAACTCTTCGTTTCCTGCAGAGAAATCTTCAAAGGCCCCGGCACTGTTCCTCCTGCTTCTGATGTAAACAAGCTTCGCGGTATTCTGGGTAAGTAATAAGCAGTGGCGGAGCCACGTAAGGGTTGGCACGTTTCTACCGTGAAATCTGGGTTTTTTCTATTAATTACTTATTATTTTGCGTAAATTCTTGGAGTTGAAATTTTATTTATACTCGTCTCATTTAAAAATTTTATATCATTAACGAATAGGTGCCTAAAAATATATTTTTGGAGTGTTCATCACCAAAATTCAACTGTTTTATTGAAGAAATTTCCAGTTTTGTCTGAATCTTTTTCATTGTTTATAAATGGTAACGTATGGATCATGTAATATTTAGGAATTCGTTAGATTTGCATAGTTAAAAGAAAGTTCAGTTTCTGTCATTTAGTGTAATCACTTCACCTTCATATCGGTTTAATTATGTGAAAATCGATGGCTAATGCATGCATGGGTTAACTAAATAGATGTTTTGATTATACATATTAGGTGATTTTTATATATAGGAATTTGGAAATTGACTCACTTTTAGCAACACCAGGAAAGTGGTGGTGTTTGTGGATCCCACGTCTCTGTTGTCGGCAGTGTATTTTCATATTATATATATAAACAATGGGTTTTCTTATTTCTATGTGCTCGTACTGGTTTTGGGTCCTAAATATTAAATTTGTAATAACTTTTGTTTTCATTTTTTTTAGATAAGATGAAGGCAGGAGATGTTGGACTTAGCAAAAATCTGCACTTCTTCAAGGCAAGGGGTGCGGTCAAAGGCACTCCAAGAGTCACCTGTACTACCATTTACCAGTGTGATGAGTTCTCGGTTAGACCTAACTTTGCCATCTTTCATGTATTGCGATGTTTTCACTTATCTTTATTATTATTACTGACATAATAATTATTATTGAGGTCATCACGGGTATCACAATCGTGTAATAATGGTTTTAGACAATATTATTACTACTATTATTAACTTTTGTAATAGTTTAATCAAAGATGGATTTAAAATTTTATGTTAAGAATAATTTATAAAATTTTAGAGGATCAATATATAAAAGTTTAAACTCATAAAATTAGATTATTAATAAAATATAATCTAAATTATATAATTTTAAATTTTTCAGAAAGTGATGGCTCCATTTAACCCCTTAGTCCATCCCTAGTTAAACCTATAGCTTAACTGAGTTGGTATATTCTATAAGTTTAATGTAGCAATGCTTGCACAAGGAACCATCAACATTCATAGTTGGATTTATATTGTGCAGTTGTGCATTTTCTTTCTACCAGAGGCGGCGGTCATACCGCTGCATAATCATCCGGGGATGACTGTTTTCAGCAAGCTTTTACTCGGAACAATGCACATAAAATCATACGATTGGGTCGATCCGATCGATACGAAGAACGACACGACACCATCCCCCCAATGTAAGATTTCTGTCTTTCGACGAATTCATTCATGATCTTCGTCAATATGATTATGATCCAAGTTTTTCCATTTCTTCAGTGAGATTGGCAAGGTTGAAAGCCAACAGTGCGTACACGGCGCCGTGCGACACGTCAGTGTTATATCCGACAACCGGAGGCAACATCCATGAATTCACGGCCGTAACGCCATGCGCGGTGCTCGATGTCATGGGACCTCCGTATTCCAAAGACGACGGCCGCGATTGCTCCTTTTACAAAGATTTCCCCTACTGGGATCATGAAGATGGAGGAACAAGAAGAGTGAGTGAAGAAGAGGGAGAATGTTATGGATGGTTGCAAGAAATTGAAGCGCCGAAGGGTGCAGAGATGGATAGAATTGAGTATTTGGGTCCTCAGATTAAATAAACCACCTTTTAGATTCATAAATATCTTGTAGATAGTGGGGGAAAATATCAAGGCTTTTAATACGATCAGCACACTGTTCCTTCACAGACTATACAATTTTTATTGGTTTTAAACAAGGTGGGCTAATGGTTTGTGAAATACTTTTATGTTAATTACGAGGGCTTAAAAATTATTTCTTAAACTTAAAAATCAAACTTTTTTTATTATTTCAATGTATATGTGAATTATTACTTTAATTTTATATTTTAAAATTACTTCATACACTCTTTTTTTTTAAATTTGGTTAAATTTTTTAATTTATCTTTATATGAAATTCTATATAATATTAGTAAATTTACCTATAATTAAGAAAATAACGTAAAAATTTCAGTGAGTTTAACATTCAACGAGGTAAGCAATGAACGTCGAGTTTAATGAGCAAAGAGTCAAGCAATAAATTTTCTGAACTAGCACGAGTCGAGTAATAAATTTTTTTAATAAACACTAATCAGGCACTGTCCAACTCACGATCGGCCCACTCGATAATCACCCCTAATCTCATATATTCTCTCTTGATTCATTGATAATAATAAGAATAAAAATAAAAGAATGAAAAGTACGAAAAATATGAGATGAAATCATGTCATAAGCATATTTTATGAATGATGAATGTGAGTAAGTGTTTTATTCCCAAGCTATTTCCTTTCTACACATACACATATACATATATATATATACGTATATGTATATGCATATGCATGCATACGCATATACGCATACGCATACGCATACGCATACGCATATACGCATACAAAGGCCATAATCAAATCCCAACGAACAGTCCACTGAAACCTTCAAAAACATTTCTTCATTTTCCTTCTTTTTATAAACCTTTTTAAACTTTTAAGAAAAAGGGAAATTGGATATTGAGATTTCTTCGTATAAGTTCAACTTTACTCTACTTTGTTACTTGCGATTTTGTTTTCATATTTTAAAATTATAAAATAGTTATGAATAATATTTATTCAAATAAATATTATAAGAATTAATCATTACATTTATAATATATAATCAAACTAAATTAATAATGAAAGTATACGCTTAAATTTAATATTCGATAAATTAATAATCTCTCTAAAATAATAATTTTTCAGTTTCGATTTGAATTCAAGGTCTAAATTAATAATTTCGATAAATTAATAAGATAATAATTTTTCAGAAGACCTTCATATAAATTTATGGTCCCTTCAATATTATAAATTAATAATGCTATAAAATTACAGATCTAACTAGGACAATTTAGTAAAATATGATTTTTTTGTTTGTTTTTCTTAAAATTTAAATTTAATACCATTTCATCTATAACTTTTCTTAAAATATGAACATCATTCAATTAGTAAATAAAAATGTGTTTTTATTCATGAAAAATAATGTAAGTTCGTTGAATCGAAAAAAATATCTTCAAATTAATAAATTATTAATTAATTAATACATCTTTAAATTAATAAAATCGTATGGTCCCGATATTACTAATTGATAGAGGTTTTATTCTATAATATGATTGTGTACAGTCCTATTTCTCTCTCTTTTTCTTACTCTGTTATTTTTTTCTTTTACCATTATTGGCTAGCGATGATATCAATAGTTCTGATAGAGTCAAATGTGTTCGTATGTATATTTGGTTTAGGTTTTTTAACGAATATTTAACAATTTTCATATATGATTTTTGTATGATCAAGTTACTAATTAATTGTCTCAATTACTACAAGAAATGTTGCTAATTACTTGTCTCAATGACTACAGGAAATGTCTTAATTATATATTTAAAATTTTCATATATAATCTTGCAAGAATTAAGTGACCTTAGTGGTAAATAAATTGTTATTATTTTTTGATGCCTCAAGTTCGAGCATCAAGAATAACAGGTGTGTGAGCATTTAATGTCAAATTGTTAAGAGATTTATCTTTTGAACATATATCGTTTTATACTTATCTCAAATTAATACAAAAATTATAATTCTCCATTATAAATTTTAGATATATTTTTGAATAAAACTGACGACTTATATTTACATAAAAATAGCATATAATAAGATTCAAAATAAGTATAAAAAAATTCTCATAACCTTATATCATATAAGTTAAAAATCTTAATTTTTTACCCTTTCTTTTTACTCTTTCAGCCCCAAGTTTCTTTTTCTTTTTTTCCTTTTAACTTTGCTGGCGACGGTATTTAAACTTTGGCTCGGTATTTAATTTTTTTAATTAAGAATTAACATTTAAGGTAAATTATGCGTTTAATACTTGAACTATCAATTTTAAATCATTTTAATATCTAAACTTCAAAAAAAAAATACCTAAAGTTTAGTTTTTATTTTAAATACTTCTGTTCAAAAGTTAACATTAAGCTTCAGAAGAAATTGAAAGTTTATGCACTAAAACGGACAAATCTTATAGTTTAGGTCTAAATGCATTAAGTTTTAACAGCATAATATTAAAATGAAACAAAAACTAAACATTAGATATGATTCTAAAAAAATTAAAAATTTAAGTATTAAAACAAATTAAAACTAATAGTTTAAATACTAAATACTTAATTTACAAAAATATTTATATAGTGAAAAATGTTGTTGTGCGACGGTTAAAAAATGGCGTGACCTGTTAAACAAGTGACCGGTTAAAATTTTAACCGGTAATGTTATATCATTTAACCGGAAATATTATCAAGTACAATAACATATTAGGTAACACTTATATAATAAAATAGGCATTTAACCGAAAATATTATCAAGTACAATAACATATTAGATAGCTCTTATATAATGTAATAGGTAACACTTATATTGACCTATTTTATATCGGTAACATTGCAAATTTACCTATTACAATATTATTATCGGTTACGATATTTTTTAGATCGATACAATTTTTTAGATCGACACTTTATGCTTGTACCTGGTTGGGCATTCATATTTCATTCTGGAAAAAAATATCGACACAAACTAACAACGTGTCGATACATTATTTAGACCTATTATCTCATAAAACTGGTATATTTATATCGATTACATTGAACATTTACCTATTACATTATACTTATGGGTTTCGATGTTTCCGGGATCGATACTTTTTATAAATGTATCGACACTTTATGGTTGCACCCTTTTTGGTATTCATTTTGGACCAAAAGTATCGACAAAAAATTAGCAAGTGTCGACACTTGATGCTGACCTATTTTATCATAAAACCGATATATTTATATCGGTTACATTTTAAATTAACCTAATACATTATAATTATCGGTTTCGATGTTTTTGGGATCGATACTTTTAATAAATATATCGACACTTTATGTGTGCACCTCGTTTGTGCATTCATCCTGAATAATAAGTATCGACACAAATTACACAAGTGTCGATACATTATGTTGACCTGTTTTCTAATTAACCAGTATATTTATACTTGTATAAAATGTATCGACACATATTTAGGTAGTTATTGTACATACCTAAATATGTACTGCGAATTTAATGTTGTACTCACCCTTTAACTATCACTACCAATACCACATCCTATTGAAAGCAACACGACTGAAACATGTTCAATGAACCTTTGCTTACATCTCCATCAACTCCGGGACCACTGAACTTGCACAACAAAATTTTTGTCATGGATCATACTGATGCAGACAATGTTAAGCCAACCGAGGAATGCCATGAATTACATAATGTTAATGAATATGACAGATTGGTTGGTCAGCTCTTTTATTCACGTGACCAAGCTTGGTACTTTTACAAGGGATTCGTATGGGAACATGAGTTTAGTGCATGTAAGGGAACAACACGGCTTGACGTGGAAGGGAATGTGAAGACACAAGAATTTTGTTGTTCCAAAGAAGGGTTTTGAGCATCAAAAGTCAATACTGTTAATCGTCAACGTGCTCATATGCCAGTCACAAGAACAAGATGTAAGGCTAGAGTCGTAGTTATAGCAACAAATACAAACGATCAGTGGGTTATAAGTAAGTCTTATCAGGAACATAATCATGCATTATGCACACCTGCTATGACACAATTTATGTGTTCTAATAGAGCTGCAATTAAGGCTGATATCGATGAGGCAACAACATTGAAAGAGGTCGGTGTTGGCACGTCACAAGTAATGAACTATTTAACGCAGCAGGCAGGGGGCTATCATAATGTTGGATTTACACATAAAGACCTCTACAATGCACTTCAAAGAGGTAAATCAAAGGAAATCGTCGATGGGGATGTGAATGCGCTTATTGCCTACTTTGATTATAAGAAACATGATGATCCCGAGTTTTTTATGACATACTCGGTAGACAAATCAGGGGCATTGTATAATCTTATTTGGTCGGATTCTACATCGAGATCGAATTACACATGCTTCGGTGATGTAATTACGTTCGACACAACGTACAAAAATAATTTGTATGGTCAACCAATTATGCCTATTGTCGGTGTCAATCATCACCATAACACAATTGTGTTTGCCACTGCCATAATCGTTGACGAGACATCTCAATCTTTCGAGTGGGTGCTACAGAATTTTTTAGAAGCCATGATGAATAAATCACCTATTTCAGTTGTCACCGATGGGGATAGGGTAATGCAGAGGGCTATCAAATCTGTTATCCCTTATGCTAAGCACAAATTATGTTCTTGGCATCTTTCTCGCAATGCACAAGCTAACATTGGTGACCCAAAATTTACAGCAGCATTCTCAAAATGCATGGCTTCTTGGTGGACAACCGAGGAATTTGATATTCAATGGCGTTCGGTTGTTTCATAATTCAACGTCGAAAAGCATCCATGGGTGATTGAGAAGGGAAATACACGACACTTATGGGCACAAGTATATCTAACCGGTCATTTCTTTGCCAATATTCGCTCAACACAAAGGTGCGAGTCTATGAATGCTTCACTAGCGATTGCACTCAAACGCAAGAAGACATATTTAGATGTTGTTCGTGCAATTGAAGATGGAATTAGTAGAATGCGTATGAACGAGTTGAAAGTAGATTACTTAAGTTCCCATACGAAGCCCTTCCAGATCACAAAACTGTTCTACCTTGAAAGCTATGCTGCTGAAATTTTTACCTGCGAATCTTTTCGTGCGTTCCAAGATGAACTTCTACGGGAGACATTATA